GGAAATAGGAGACGCTTGGGAAGTTAAGGCTAACTCAAAGAGAAGGAGATATGAGATTAAGAGAGTGGGAGGCAGATGGCAATTAAAAAAAAGTGGACATAAAAAGGATTTTCAGGGAGTAAGCGTGCCTGTTTTATTGATCTAGAAATATATAAGCATGGGGAAAATAGAAGCAGTTTATTGTATGTAATCAAATGATTTTGATGAGTACTATGAATTTGAGAAAGAGAGGGGTAGCAGGCAAGGTGAAGCAGGTGTTGTCAGGTGAGTATCATGTGCATGGACTTAAAGACAGGTGACTGTGAAAAAGCTGTGACATAGGGTGGGTTGACGAAATGAAATGGGTTAATTAAAAAGAAAAAAAAAAGAGAGGTGGGCTGGAATTAGCTCAGTTGAGTGAAAATCTATAATCATTGAGAAGATATTTTGAAATTTTCAAGATTGTTTTGTTATCAAGCTGAAAAAAATAATTATCAGACTTATTGATTTAAGTTAAAAAAAAAAAAATTCTTTGATTTATTGATCAACTACTTTAAGTTATTTTAATAGTGGTCTCATATTCTTGGACACTTTCCAAAAACATGTAACACACCTGTCAACCAAAAAAAAAAAATTTAAAAACCTTGAGATTTCTATCTCTAACTCCAGAAAAAAACAAACAGATTTTGCCAAAAACACAAAGAGAAACAGAAGGATTTCAAAAACAGCTCTAAAATGTTTACTCTAAAACAGGGCTTGACAACCGTTTGCTAACTATATGCTGACTAAGCGTTTTAAAATCATTCAGTGTGCCAACAGCATACATATTTTTATACAAGTCAAGGTCAATATACCTGTTCTACAATATATTTTATATAGTAATATATAGTATATATAGTCTACTATATATTAAAATTGAAACAGCTAGATATCTTCTTTGCATTGTAGTAGTTATTGGTTCAGACTTTGTAATATCATTTCAGCTGTGTGCCATTAGAGATTGCTTGGTGTGCCATGTGTGGCACGCATGCCATAGGTTGCTGACCCTGCTCTAAAACATCATTCTTTGAACTCACAGCAATTATTTCCAACAGGGGTATGATTGTAGACCAACATTAACCCATTTTCTTTGTAAACAAACCCCTATTCAGTAAAATCTGTTACTGAAAAATGCTACTTCTGCAATGATTTAACTGAATCATATCTCAAAATGGTGAAAAGTTACCCCACTTGGTTTTGCCAAAAACGCCTGTTAGAGAGTGTTCTTTAGGCCTATAAAAAGTTAAACATTTCCTTCATTTTCCTCTTTTTAACTCTTGCTTTCAAATAAGCACATCCCATTTCCCCTCTTGCTTGTAACCATCCACTATAATAAAATAAATGTTTTCAGTGTTAAGCTGAATTAGTCAAATAAAGCTTCAGAAGCTTCTACTTAAAGTTGTTGCTATATTATACATGCATTAATTGCCATTTGTTTTAAATTCATTGTTTTGTGCTGTTATAAAATAAAATAAGACATATCTCGGCTGATTTACAGGCAAATACTCAAGAGCAAGAGCCGGATGTGAATGGGACAAAGCTCCGTCACAAAATGACCATTATCTTCATTTACAAATGTTCCCAACATATGTGTTCCGGTCGAAAAATAAAATAATATTTAAAGTACTCTATTTTTTGTCCAATAAAAATGCTTCCCTCCTAATTATACTCGCTTCATTTTTCGAGCCTGTTAAGCCATAAAAAAACGCTATAAAAGGTGTCACACGGAAGTTCAACAGGCAGTCCACAGGTGGCCAGGGTAGAGACCTGTCACGGTCAGCAGCTGACAGCAGGGGAGCATCAACCACCATCAACATGTGTGAACTACTATGAGAGATCGACCTAGATCTGAAGCCAACTTAAGAACTTTACCACAAGGTAGCTGTCCCAAACCCTCACATTCCTGTTGAAATAAACCACGTAAATCTATTTCTGCTGTTGTCGTATTTCTTTCTTGCAACCATACTCTTGTCTATAACAGTGCTTTTTATTTTTACCTGGACTCATATGAGTCCACCAATATTGTTTGCAGGACAAATGTACCAGGAGTCCATAAATATTTAATATAAAATGTCTATACACATCACAACCAAAGAGGTGATACCCACAACATAATAGTGACTTATTTTTACTCCCAAACCATAGAATCTCACAACAAGGGTTTTCAAATCACTGAGTAGGAAGTATTTTCACTCAACTGATCTTTTAAGTGGTGAATGCTCAACAATTTATTTATGGGGAGAATCTTGTCAAAATGGGCAGACCTGACAGAAGACAAACAGTTACCTGTGGGCAGAGGGCGGAGGTGATGCTAGTTATAAACCAAGATTCTTTTCTTCTAACATAAGTGATCATGGCTCACCACAACTTCCTATCCTTTGTGGCCTTTAGCAGTTTTTCTCTCTTTGCTAAGACTCATCCTCCACCTTATGTTCCACAATCCATTCATACAAACTCACAAGTGGCTCGCTGTCTTCCATCACCTCTCTTGCTCTTAATATATCCATGCTACTTCAAATAAAAGGTTAAGAAGGTTTTTTATTGATTTTCTATGGCTTATCCACCCTTTGCAGGTTATTTAAAGCCAGAAAATATCTTTAGATTGTAAGAATTTTCTTTGGAGATAATGATTTAGTGATACAAGTCTTACTAATTAACCTATAACTGTGGTGAGAAGTGGTGGATTCATACCTTTCCCAAGGGTATTTGCACTTAAGTAAATATAATGAACCCAATGAGAATTGGAACTAGACTCAGATTAACAATTCCTAGCAACTGTCCATTACACTAAACACACATCCAAGCTTACAGCACCTGGTATTCTCAAGTGGTCACCCATGTAGGTACTGACCAAGCTTGTTGTTGCTTAACTTCATTGATCATATGGGAACCAATGTTTCAATGCTATATGACCGTTAGCCAGATTAGGAGGGGAGTTTTCCCCATCATTACTGAAAATAGCAATAGCAGCTACAGGGCTTGAAAAATCTATTTTCCTGAAAAATTGTTTTAAGAGAGAGATTTTATAAATTTCAACTGAAAGCAGTACCTCTAAAGTTATGAATGCCAAATGTTTCCTTGTAGGGAAATGGTTAATATTATCATTATAACATTGTTGTCTGTGGTCAGCCTAAGCATCTGCAGGATGTGTCTTCCTGAGAGTCATTGGTTCTAAGTAAAGCATTCAAACTAGATTGAAGTGAAAGCATAAATATAAGACCCCCATAGATAAAAAGATGCTTGTTATGAAGCCGGTATTTCATCATGATATGGCTGTAAGCACATATAAATACAAATACACACACCTACACATCTAAATTGGAATTAAGAGTGCTTTTCTTTGGAAATATTTTGGTTTTAATAAGAAAGCATGAAAAATAACATTTTCAATTGGGCAAATTTAATTATCTATTTGGAATCCATTAGTTTTAAAATTTTGAAAAAAATGAAGCAGATATGTAGCATTGAAAAGAAAAATAGACTTTATGTCGGAAACATTGTTCCCCACCCTTAAAAGCTGAAGTCTTTTCTTTAAAACCAATTTTCTCAGAACATGTACATGAGATAATTGATGATATCAGGAATAATAAGATGTCCATCTCCCATCCTTAATGTTATCATCACTTCTAAAAGCTTTCAAAATTAGAGTTCAAGCTAAAAGTAGATATTCACTCCTATTATTTTCCTGTTCATTCTCTCATCTCTCTCTATTTAGCTAACAATTTGCTCCTCTGCCTTCTTGCTCTCTCTTTACCCTCATTTACTTGATTTTGTTTTCCTGCCTTTCTTATTGTTTACTTCACTTCATTTTTTTTTGTTTCTCATTTTTTTAATCAGATTTTCATGAATACCAGTCAGTCAATTGAAAGACAAAAAGAGGTTACATATGAAAAACAATTCAGTTTTTTTTTTCTTATTTATTTATATTATTTACTGATTTTTTTTTATCATTTCACCCCAAGTATGGTAATAAAGCCACTAGGATGCAAGGAGTTACTGAGTGTTAGAGAATATGAGAAAAACTGCTATTAAGGAGAGAGGACAATAAAAGAATAAGAATTAAGAAGACAGTAGATAACAATTGACATTGCATTTAGATTTTTGAAGATTTAAGTTGACTGGGAAGCCAGAAGACAGAAGAGAGTTTCACAAGGAAGAAGTGCAAGAGAAGAAACTGTTAGCATAGAATTTATGGTTACATCTAGCCTTTACATTTCTAGTCAGTAAATTGATGAGACCTTGCCGCCAATCTAGTATTAGTTTGGTGCAAGAGGTGAGGGGAGGTAAAGCCAGTATAAATAAAAATAAAATAATACTGTCTGCAGTTTAATTTTATTATTCTTGTTTGGATTATTAGTAAGTTAAAAAAGACAGAGTAGATTTGTCATTTTGTTGATATTGCAAGTCATCGACAGTGAATTCAATTTTTACTGAATGGTCTAAAAATGCATCCTCTGCACTTCTACTGGTGTAGATGTAGCTCTTTACGAAATTTACATTGCCTGCTATCAATGTGTGTGTGTGTGTACATACACACACACACACACACACACACATATATATGTTTTCAAGATACTGTAAAATATTGGTCCCAAATGTTTGAGCTATAAACTAACTAGCTCTTAGTTCTATTTCCAAACTAGTGTGGACATATAAACTAAATCTAAATATTATGTACACAATTTTATTTTTTGACAGGAGATAATAATGGTTTTAGTGATACAAGTCTTACTAATTAACCCATAACTGCGGGGGAGGGAGAAGAGATGGATTCATACATTTCCCAAGGGCATTTACGTTTAAGTGAATATAACAAACCCAACTGGAATTGGAACTCGGCTCTCCAAGCCATTATCCATTACACCACATATACATGCAAGCTTACAGCAACTGGTATTCCCAAGTGGTCACCCATCTAAGTACTGATCAGGCTCGATATTGCTTAACTTTGGTGATCATGAAGGAACCGGTGTTTCAACTTTCCCACTGCCATAATGTAGCTTCCCTACACCTTTTCTATAAATACTTCCATGGTAATTGTACTGATGAACTTTCCTCTATGGTATATAGACTTTATGAATTTAAGTGCAGTACTAGATTGGTGACAAGGTCTCATCATTTTACAGTTGAGATGGCTAAATGTAACCATAAGTTCTATGCTAATAATTTCTTCTATCAAAACTTTCACCTGTGGAACTCTCTTCCAGCTTCCTGATTCCCAGTCAACTTTGATCTTCAAAATTTAAATGCAATGTCAATTGTTATCTTCTGTTTTCTTAATTTGTGTTATTTTATTGGTCTCACTCCTTAATATTTTTTTTCTCATATTCTCTAAAACTCAGTAACTCCTTGCATCTTAGTGGCTTTATTGACTTACTTTTTAAAAAACAAAAAATGAAATAATTAGCTGAATCCTTCTGGTATTTCACAAATTGTTGCTTTGTGTCCAGTAGAAGCATTAGTAATTAGTCATGGTAACAATTAATGTAGTAAATAAAATACCAATAATTGTGATAAAATTTAAAATTCCTTTTTTTTTCTTTTTTTTTCTTTTTCTTTTATGTACCATATCCCTTCAGGATATTGGCCACCATAGGTTCTCCAAAACTTTCTATCTCGTGTGGCTCTTGGTAGTTTTTCTCCTTTTGCTACCCACTCCCATTCCACCACCCATTCACACAAGTTCATCAGGTAAGTGGCTCACTGCCTTCTTCTGTTTCTCTTGCCCAGTAAGGGTTAACTTTTCCAAATCCTCCTTCCTCATTAAGTGTTCAAAGAATTTCACCTTGTGTTCTTTCTGAAGACTTCTTTGTTGCTTATTCACTTTGTCCATGGAATTTTCAGTATCCTTCTGTAGAACCACATCTCCACTGCCTCTAGTTTTCTCTTCATCGTTGGGGAGATTGTCCAACATTCACTGCCATATAAGCGGATGGATACCACATAGCAATCCAGCCCTCTTTTTCCTTGTTTCTAATCTTTCCATTACTCAGCACCTTGTTTAGCTTTTGGAATGCTTGTTTTGCTAGTCCAATGCATATTCATATCTTGATGCCTCATATTCCTTCCTCTGCTTCCCAGATATTTGAACTTCTGCACCTGCTTGATGCTGGCATCTCCAATTTATAACTCACCTCTTAGACTTTTTCTCTTGCTGATGACCATTCTTTCTGTCTTCTTGCATTTGATGTTTAGTCCTTTTTTCTCACTTTCTTTTACTACCCTCTCTAGAAGGTCTTGTAGTTTTCCTTCTATGTCAGCCATCAACACAGTGTCATTTGTCTATCTTATATTAAGATTACACCCACTGATAATAAATCCTGGTAATGTTTCCAGTTGCCTTAGGATATCATTGCTGTAGAGGTTGAATAATTCTGGGGAAAAGACACATCCTCATTTCACGGCCCTTTCTATTTTTGTAAATGCTATGAAAATTAAAAATAAAAAAGTTTCACCCCATGCATGGACTCCAAGCATTGCATTTGGTCTATAAAACAAATTCCCCCAACCAAACCCAAATATAAATAAAATGTAAATGTTGGAACCAATCACAAATGTTGCCACTAAAGCAAAAATATGACAAAATGCTGAATCATGTATCCACCCTGACTGCTTAAAATGGCCCACTTGGGACCTCAAGACAGTTCACAGTGACTTTCCGACCCAAAGTAAGCTTAAATGTGAGGCTAGTACACAGCCAATTCATCCATCTTCAAGTTCAAACTATGTCACCCCCAAATGTCATATCACTTGCCTTGGCCTTTTGGCTGGGATTAAAGTATAGTATCTGTTCTCCCCTCATTTGAGATGGGAGAAGGTGCTAGGTCTTGTGGAAGTACCTTCCTCATTGCACAAAGAGAAGTGGGATTGGTGTAGTAGCAACGCCAGTGTGACAGTGGTTACATGGACTGGGTAATTTTTGTCCATGGCCTATATTCACTCCTTAATACTTTTATTACTCAAAAAAGAATTTATTTTGGAAAACCACATCCCTGTTGCCCCAAGTCTCCTCTTCATTGATAAAGATGAAGCAGTTGCTGCCATATATGAGGATAGATATTACAAAGCAGTTCAGCACAGCTATACTGAGAATACTATGGACAGAACCTCCGAGCAACAAGGAAGTTTTAAGGAAAATAAAAACACAAAGATGCTTGTGCTTAGGCCCAGAAAGAGACAGTTGAAACTTTGGGGGCACATCATGAGGAAAGAGGGTTTGGAAAATTTGAAACTTACAGGTCATATAGAAAACAAGAAGAGCAAAGGGAAACAGTCACTTAATGACCTTGTGTAAATGAATGGTAGAATATAGGCTAAGAGGGACAGTAAGAGACAAACATTGCATAAGAGCTACAAAGGAAAGGAAGTTGTAGAGAGATTTATGAAGGAAAAAATATTATCAGCAATAAAAATCTTGTCAGTATTAAATAACCCATTGAGGTTGATATACCATAAAACAAACCAAACCAAACATACCTGAAAGACAGTCTTTCAAGGAGGAGTTCCTATAAGGAGTGAGAAGGCTCTGGATCTGGATCTAGTTTTCATCCCTGGTAACTTTTTTTTCATACATTTTTGTGACTGTTGTTACATTTTACAGGAACAAATGAAGTATCAGTGTATTGACATTGAAAAGCAGGCATGTTGTTTCAGTTGTCAGTGACTCTTTTGATCCTTAGCCATTTCATTTCTCTGTTCAGGTAAACAGAGTTGCATGGTGTAAATTTTTGTAGACAAACTGGCATTGTGGAACTAACTGTTTGATAAACCATTGCAAAGTCTCATATTTATTGTTTTTAGAAGAGAAAAATTCAAAGGATTTTGAATTTATTCAAATTAACAGCAATTGGTTGAAAATGACCTTTATACTTTGGGATGGCCTTTCTCCTGCCTCTTCAAAATTTTAATCATACTTGAAAGTTAATTTTTGACATTATTTTTTCACAAGCCTGTTGATTGTATAACTTTGTAGGTGATATAATTGTTATGTTTTTTTAACTGAATATGTTGATTTTTTTTTTATATGTGTAGCCATAGTGATGGAAATGTTTTTTTATTTTGCAAAATCAGTCAAAAAAAGAAAAATCCTTGATAATGGCTAAAAGTGCTCAGATATAGAACATTTAGAATTTATGTTTACATTGATGCAACCACATATGCGCATGAATGAAAAATGCTGAAAATTTTAAATTTAAATATATTTTTTATTATATGTGTTTTGAGTTATATTCTTTTATTGTTTGATATTTTTCTATGTTGACAGTATGGGATAATGATATATAATCCTTTTTTTTATGTGTAGTCACATCAATGTAAACATAAACTTAATCTGATGAAGTTTTAGAGGATGAAATGTGTCACATGAAATCTTTTTCCACTTTATTATACAGTTTTCCCTTAAAACTGTTTATTGTATATAAAAAATTATATATTATTATCTCATACTGTCAATATAGAAAAATACCAAATATAAATATATATATATATATATATATATATATATATATATTATATAATTATTTATTTAAGAATATGATTCCAACTCGCGACATAAGAGGTCTCATGTTTCAAAACAAGAGCCGAAAACTTCAATATAATTATTTGAATTAAATTGAGTTAAAGAAAGCTCTGTTCCATCTTCAAACACATAAATTTCTGAAATAAGTTATTCCCCAAAAAATTTTGCTTGAAGATGGAACAGAGCTTTTTTAACTCAATTTAATTCAAATAATTATATTGAAGTTTTCGCTCTTGTTTTGAAACATGAGACCTCTTATGTCGCGAGTTGGAATCATATTTTTAAATAAATAATTATATTTATGCTACATTTGTATCAAGCACTATTTTTAAAAAATAATAACTAAAATACTAAGGAACTTTGGATCTACCTAACCAGTTCTTTTTCCTATTTTCTATATTTTTCACAAATATATATATATATATTATATATATATATATATATATATATATATATATATATATATATATATATATATATAAAATATACACACATATAAAATTACTGTATTTGATGGCATACATGGGTGTATAAGACGCACCCCAATTTCAGCAGGGCAAATCAAGAAAAAATTAGTAATTAGTAAAATTAGAAAATAAGAATAAAAAGTAAAAAGAAAAGAAAGACCAAACAAATAAGTTAGTTAAAAGGGGGGGAAGAGAAAGGACAAGTCGCAAGGCGAGCCAATATAATAAATCGTTTTTTTTTTTTTTTGTGTGTATATATATATATATATATATATATATTTGTGTGTGTGTGTGAATGTGTGTGAGTGTATATATGTAGATGTATTTATGAGTATATTTTTTTGGTTTGTTTTTCCTATTCTTCCAAAAAACACCCATTCTTGGCCGCAAGTAGGAAGATCACTACAACCATGCATACCTAATTTTTAACTTCGAATAGCCCAAGTGAAGTCTTTATTGGTTGTTTTTTTTTTTTTTTCTTGCTGGGACAACTTATATAATATGCGTCCTAAAGCTAGTGGCAAGTTTTGTTCTAGGTGCGGGCCGAATACTGATCATATTCGGTCGGGTCGCCCATCGAAGAAGTCTGTTGTTTATTTAGACCCGAAACTTCTAGTGACATGGGAGCAACAACACTGACGACGCATCTAGATTCAGCACTTAAAGGTGTATTCTAATAATAATAATTAATAAATGGTACAGCCTAGGCTATATTTCTGAGGTATTATTTTGGTTAAACAAGCCATGACTACAATTAAATGAAAAATAATAGGAAAAAAGAACACAAGCCTATAAAACTTTATTATATTCAAAAGTAAGAAAACAAAATAAAAATCAAGCAGTTGTTACAATTGAGCAAAACAGTACAGTTACTATTAAAATTTTATTCATCTTCAAATCCATAAAATTCAGTGTCTCCATTATCAAAACTCATTTTCAATACTACTATCATCATTGTTAAATAATGTGTCATCTAATTTTGTCCGACTATCACGAA